AAAAAAAATGAATTTTAAAAATACGAAGATCGAACAACGGCATAATAATATCATTAAAAAATTGATATAAATTATAGATCTTATGAAATATATAGTCGAGATAAATTTGAAAAAAAAAATAAAAGTTAACAAGAACATACTATCACATAGTATGACGATATCAGCATTTTTTAAGTACAATAAGACAGAGCATGTTTGAGCTCCATTTTTTTGACAATTTTGAATTTACGTGTAATATTATTTTATTGAAAAAAAATGAATTTTAAAAATACGAAGATCGAACAACGGCATAATAATATCATTAAAAAATTGATATAAATTATAGATCTTATGAAATATATAGTCGAGATAAATTTGAAAAAAAAAATAAAAGTTAACAAGAACATAATATCACATAGTATGACGATATCAGCATTTTTTAAGTACAATAAGACAAAGCATGTTTGAGCTCCATTTTTTTGACAATTTTGAATTTACGTGTAATATTATTTTATTGAAAAAAATGAATTTTAAAAATACGAAGATCGAACAACGGCATAATAATAATCAATTGAGTAGTTAACATAAGGAAAACTATTTATAGAATTAACAAAAAACAATATTAAAGTTTTAATAAAAATTAGAAAAAAAAATTGATGTCGTCATCCCCATCTTCTATTTTTTGAACATTATTGTCCCCAACGCTTAACTTCCTCTTCCTCCACTTTCATATAACATTACCAAACAACTCTCTTTACAAAACTTCTTTATTATTCTATTCTGTTCCCGATTATACAAAATGGACCCTTTTATTGGACCCGCCAATCATGACCCGCCGGACAACGATCTGACAGCGGCGAGCGAGGAGGAGTCGTCATCATGTACAACAGTGCTCGACCTCACGAGTTTCCAACTCCACGATCTCGAATCGGTGGAGATTCCGCCGAGTCTCACCGAGTTAGACTTGACGGCAAACCGTCTGTCGACGTTAGACCCCAGAATCTCCCAACTCTCCAATCTCAAAAAGCTTTCTCTTCGTCAGAACCTTTTTAACGATGACGGAGTCCAGCCTCTCTCCACTTGTCACACCATTTCCGCCCTCGAAGTACCAATTCTATTCTTCTCCTTCATATATATATATATATATTTTTTTTATCATTTGATCACTTAATAAATTCAAGAAAAATAGACCGATTAATAATAGTACCAATAAAATTCAAACTTTCGTTGACTACGANTTTCTTTCTTTTTTTTTTTTTACAAGTTTTAACTTTAGTATATTTCACTGCTTTGATTATTGAATTGGTGTATTTGTCATTTATTTGTTTAGTTGCTGTAAGATATGAACAAATACCAATTTGTTATTTGTTTGGTTGTGGATGAAAACGTTATGTTTCATGTTTACTCCTGAAGTTTTATAATAAAGTTGTTTGGCTTATTATTATTTGACATAATTGTTGTTGTTCTTGGATGCTTTGGGACTGGTTGTGACATTTCACCAGCAAGAGGATTGAAAATGAAGTAATTTGGGTTTAACCATTTATTTTTTTGGATATTTAACTTTTTTCAAGTTTTGGTCATGTTAAATAATGGTATATTTTATGTTTGAAACGGTTGAACATGAAATTTTAAGGATTTGATTTTGATTTCTATAATTTGTGGCTGGATTTAAGCTCAAAAAAGTGGATTCTGAGATGGCGGATTAACAAAATAGGATGCAAAGGCATGAATGAACTTGATCATGTAGCTTTCTTGTCCCTGCAACATCTTCTTAAGCTCAAAAAAAGTGACTTCTGAGATGGTGGATTAACAAAATGGGATGCAAAGGCATGAATGAACTCGATCGTGTAGTTTTCTTGTCCTTGCAACAGCTTCTCAAGACACATTTGAATATGTATTTGGCTGTTTTATTGGTGTGAGTCTTTCAACGTTGTCTTCAACTGTTATTATTTGGTGGACAAAAGTACTGGATGCAGAACCACCCATCTAACACTGGTCCTGCTTGAGTTTTAAATGGTTTTCGGTATTAAACCAGTACTAGTCAGGTTCTCAGTTCTGAGTCCTAGAACTGAAAGCCAGAACTTTTTTATAAAAAATAAAGAGGCTGACTGCACCGGCCACATATGGAAGAATCAACCCAATATTAATCTAGTACACTATATGCAATGATTTTTAATTTTTTTTTATGATATTGTTCTGCTTTTCATATAAATATGAATGTGGAATACATGTGCGCATTTCTTTACTAGTTTTTAACTTTTATTTTTCTTCAGGTGGCCCTTTGATTTCTATATTTTATATGATCAAGATAGGCCAATTCTTTGGGGCTGACAATTATGGATTTAGAATGGGGGGTAAAGGAGTTATGAAAAATTTAGTAGAAGAAGTTTAATTCCCCTTCTTTTTGCTGCACTTCAAGTTTAATATGTGTTCCTTCACAGCCTGAATTGAATAAAATTCATTTAAGGGGAAGGTTTCTTCTTCTTTTAAGACTTATGAAAAATTTGGGGCACTATTTTATATCTGTGTCTAAGTTTGTGTATACATATATATACAAATGTGTGTGTACACATGGGATAATGAATCGTATAACTTGAAGGAACCAACCTGGAACAGCCGGTTCGGTTCCATAATGAGAGATGGAAGTCATGGAACCAACGGTTGCATTTTTAAGATACCCATCGATACTTGGTTTATTTCTCTTTGGAACTAGACCGTGCCACCCCTAGTTATTATAGAGTGGCATGATAAACATGACATATGAAGGTTGATTTATCCCATAAAATTGATGAAGGAAAATTTTATGTGAGCCTCTTCTTTCCTAAATACCCTTTGCTTTCCTAAACAAGTTTATCCGAAGCACTTTATTATTTCTCTTGACCCCTATAATATGGAAAATTTACTGTTTATCAGAAACTCATTTCAGACTATTTCCCTTATATAGGTTAGCTGTTGCTTTTCTTACAAATAATATGAATGCACACATGCCTTAAAATAGAGCTAAGCAATCAGCCTTCAACTTTTAGCTGTGCTCGTGTGTTCCTTTACGGCTGTATTATGTATGTGTGCTCTCATGTGCTAATTTTTTTATTGCTTGTACAACAGCTGTACTCATGATGTTGCATTTGAGAGTTTATTAAAAGAATTTTTTGGAACTGAATATGAGTTGTTTCAAGAATTCTTTTAGGATGTCAAAATAACAATAAAAAGAATA